GCCCCCGGTGCGGCATAGCCCTTGCGGCCCCGGCTGGCTCCTCTCAGGATGTCCCACATATATAGGGCCTGCTGCCAGCCCTGCCCCATTGGCTGCAGTGCTGCTGATGCCAGGGGACCCCGGGAGGGGGTGTGCCAGAGGGTGGGTGGGTCCTTTTGCTCTGAAACTCCCCTTTGTGCAATTGCCCTTGGTGCCCAGCCAAGGATTCCTCCTCCTCTCCACCCCCGTCTGCTGTCCTGCTGTGCCCCCGTGGTACCACCACCTTGGCTGCAACCTTGAGGGGAGCGGGCATGGACATAGGCTCCCCACTAGCCACCGGGCAGCCCCCAGAACCAGGGCAATTCCCATGGCCCGGCCGTGCCTGCAGCATCCCTTGCTGGCTCGGGCAGAGAAGGGACAAAGGAGAGGGCTCAGTTGGCACCCGTGCTGTGGCACCATTCAGCCTGGGGCTTGGTGCTGGTGTCAGGGCACAGGAAGAGGCAGAAGAGGAGGGAACAGACTTCATGCGTGCATCCTTCCAGCGGCTGCACATGGGGCTCTTGCACTGAGCTGCACGGTGCCCACGCGCCGGAGACGCCCGAGCTGCATTGGGCACCTGCCCCCCCAGCGCTGCACAGCCCCGCTGGAGGGAGCTGGGGGAGCGGAGCCCAGACGTGGGGCCTGGCACAGCTAATCCCCTCAGGAACGCGCTGCACCACATGAGACCATCATGTGCCCCTGCCTCAGCGCATGACCCAGGAGCCTGGAGCTCTGTGCAAAGCCGAGCACGGGTGGGGGGGCCTCCCTGGCTACCTCTGACCTGGGATTGCTGCGGGCCGTGCTGGGCTGCATGGGGGTGCTGGGGATGCCTGGAGCCCAGACCTCTGCTAGCTCCTGCTCTCGGGAGGCGTCTGGCCTGTCACCTGCACACATGCAGCGCCTAGCACTCACAGGCCGGGTCCCGGACTCCCAAGGCATGAGCACCATGCATGACAGCCGTGCGAGAGGCTGCACGTTGGTTGTGCGAGACCCCATGCAGCCCCTGGGCCATTCACAGCCAGGCCCCGTGTCCTCAGCTGCCCCTGCAAGAAACCCTCACCGTTCCCGGTGACTTGGGGGCCTTAGAGCAGCATTTATTCCCTGGTGCCAGGCACAGGGGGGAGAGCGCGGGGATTAGCCAGAAGCTTGGGGACAAAGGAGCTTTCCCTGCAGTCACGTCCCTGGGGAGGCCAAGGGCCGAGCCCATGGAGGGGTCACTTGGGCACGGCGCTCCCTCACTGCCCCCAGGCTGCCCGACTCCTCCAGCCACCTGATCCTCTTTCTCCCAGGGCTGCTCCAGACCCCTGGCCTGCACCCGCTTCCCTCCCTAGAGAAGCTCCAGGGCACAAGGACCACCCACGCTTGGCCCATGGCTGCCAGGAGAGCTGAGGCCTGGCACGGAGCAGGTCTGGGACACATCTCCAGCCAGCGCTTCCAGGGACGTGGACCCTCCCCCCTCAGGCAGGACCGGCCCCATGCTTTCTTTGCACAGCCAGACTCTGCGGGGGTCCAGTGCAGGTTTCTGGCTGGAGCTGAGACCTGACCGGAGGTCTGCTCCACCCCTGTCCTCCTGGTCACCTGTCACCTGCCCTCTCAACTTGGTCTCATCCCTTCCAAGGACTCCTGAAAAGAGCTAAGAGGCAAGTGGAGCAGGAGATGTCTTGCATCCCAGGAGACACCTCTCATGAGCACCCATCTAGACCAGGGGCTGCCCGTGTGCTGGCAGCCGCTGCCTCCGCCCCAGCCCCAGAGCGGCTCTGCCTGCAGGTGTCTGTGCCTTGCTGTGCGGCTCCAGGTGCAACGGGACAGAGCCCCAGGGATGGAGAGGATCCAGGAGCAGCGAGGTACAATAGGGCATCCCTGACCTGGCACCAGCCCTGGGCAACTCAGGACACACCAGAGCTACTATGCACGGCCTCCAGCGCTCCCTCCCAGGGCCCTGGGAGTTAATGCAGGACGGGAGAGTCTGTCTGCCCTGGACCAGCTCCACAACTACAAGGGCTGAGGTCTGCCCCTGTCTGGGGGGCTCCCAGAGAGCGTGGGAGCCCCCACACCGTGGCTGCCCCCACAAACCTGTGCTCCAGGTTGAGGACAGGGCAGGAGCCTTCCCTGATTGGGATTCAGGGCGCTGCAAGGTCACCAGCTCAGCACAGCGGCCTCGCTGCAGAGGGACGAGGCCGGCGGTGGAGGGCAGTGTCGACCTCACACCCCACAACGGGATGGGACCCCGGAGGGCACTGGGGGTGCCTGCATGAGGCTTTCATCACCCCAGAGACTCTCCTGTGGTGCACTCCCACACATGCACACATGCAATGCACACACGTGCACACATGCAATTTGCACACATGCACGTGCTGTCTGATAGCATGGGCTGCAGCATGAGGAAGCCCCGGGGCAAGGGGCACCCCTGGCTGCATACCCGGCCCCACAGGGCTGTGGAAACAGTGTCTGACTCTGCCCTCTGCTTGCTCCAGCCTTCCTGGCCCCAGGCAAAGCGCGGCAGAGGCCCCCCATGTCCTCCGCAGACGCGGGAGGTGTCCACCGTCCAGCTCAGGGGCTGCTGCACTGCACGGGGTGCCCGCTCCCCTACCCTGCCCCAGGCGCCCCGGGCAATTAGCAGGGCAGGAGCACGAGGCACGGCGACAGATGGAGGCTCCCAGCAGCTGCCGCAGGAAGCTTCGTCCCCGGTCGTGGCAGCGAAGTGCAGCCACCACGCTCGGGCTGCCAGGCCGCATTACCACACGTGGGCTTGAGGGGCTGGCGCAGGGCACCCCGCTGGGTCCCAGGCATGTTTAACCCCTTGGTGCCCAGGCTGTGGATACACCCCGAGTGTCCCTGCCTCTGGCTGCAGCCACGCCAGGGCGCTCCCTGCTCTGGGATGCAAATGAGGAGGCTGGGCGACGCAGCTGGAGGTGCCTCGGTGGTGCCCAGGGGTTTGGCCCAGGGTGGTGCTGTTTTTGGGGAGGTCCCGTGAGACACCAAAGCAGAGGGCCGGAGGCAGGTCCCAGGTGAGGGCAGGACGCCTGGGTCCCGATGGCCGCCAGTTCACCTGCGGTGGTGAGTCACACTGTCTGTCCCACCTCTGGCTCCAGCAGCAAAGCACCTCTGGGAGCTCATTAGTGCTCGTTAGCACCAAAAGGGAAGGTCTGGGTGGTCCCTGGGGTGCCCGGGACTCTGTAAACAAGGCGGCGTGGGGCCCAGGGCTCGCTCGCTGCCCGTGGCTTCCAGATGGAGCGTGGAGGGAGACTCCCCCCATGCCACCCTGCTCGGCTTGGGTGCCACGAGGAGCAGGGCTGGAGCGTGTCTGCCCCTGAGGTCCCAGGACCAGGCCCCGCTGGGGTCTGTGACCCTCCCGCAGGCTGGGGGGCTGCGGACCACTGCTACCCCCACCCATTGGGAAGCCGGGCACTGCCCCACTGGGTGCCAGGTGTGGGAATCACCAGAGCCAGCTGCCGGCCCCCCTTCCCTTGCTCCCAGCGCCAGCTGGGCCTGACGCTGCCGCACCTGCCCTGAGCCGATGCCCGGCTGCAACCAGGGCCTGGCGCCTCCCCCGCCACGCGCCCCCGGTCCCCCTCACTCACTGCCTCTAACAAGAGGCGATGCCGCGCGTGTGAGACGCTAATTAGCATGGTAATTAAATAACGCGGAATAGATCTGCATAGCAATTAGCCCTGCTTCCAGGCCAGGCGAGATGGCACTGCCGGCGGGAGGGGGCTGCCTCACCCTCTGCCCTCCGCCGGGCTGTTCTTCCCCACAGGCCTTGACTTTTGCCTGGACAGGACCAGCTCTCCTGACCCGGGGCCACCTGGCTCAGCTCAGAGCAGCTCCCCATCCCGGGGCAGTGTGGGGGCACCCCGGCCATGCCCCCCTGACTTTGCTATGCAATGCAGCCTGTACCTATCGCTCTCTGCCTGCACCTGGGGGGCCGGGCCCAGCTCCGGAGCAAAGACTGCAGCTTGCCTTGCTGCTGCAGAGCTGCCGTGCGCTGGCCGGTGCCCACCGTGCCAGTGTGGGAGACAGTGGGGGGCATCGAGGTTGCCCCGTGGGAATGCATCACCAGCGGAGACACGGCTCCCCCACCGCCCCGGGCACAACGGCTGCGTGCAGCCGGGACACCGGGCCCCTTGTTTGCCTCGACAACCGCTGTTGCCACGGAAACTAGCTGCACCGTGGCGGCGGCAGGACCCATCCGCCACGCAGGCAAGCCAATGGGCACCATCCCCACTCCCCGAGCCACCGCGTCGCTGCGGCAACCAATGGGCATGCCACCTGCGCCGGGAAGGCCGCAGTCGCTGGGGCAACAGGCGGGCACGATGCCCCGCGTCCGCCCGGAGCAGCCCCCGGCTCGGCGGGGGGCGATTAGCCTGCAGCTGTCGGCCCCCCACCCATGCCCCCGTAAGCTCCTGCTGGCGTCTCGCTGGGGCAGGCGGGGACCTCGGGGGTCAAAACAGCTCCCCTGTTTCCAGGCTGCCTTAATCCTGCTGGGAGCAGGGGGGTCGCCAAGGGGACCTGCCTGGACCTCTCCCAGCACGCGCGGGTGTTTCCCAGGCCCCGGTTCAGCGCCGCCCTGAATCCACACGTGCCGGGCTCGCTCCCCCGGCTGCTCGGGGCCGGAAGATGTCCTGCCACCTGGTGACCCCGTGCCCCCGGCTCCGGCACGTGGCACCCTCTCCCTGCCCCCAGCCAGGCACTGGCTCCTCTCCCTCTCCCTCTCCCCCTGCGCAGGGCTCGGTGCCCGGAGGCCCCTTCCCCTCCTGGAGCAGGGGCAGCCTCCTCAGTGCAGGGAGGAAGAAAGCAAAGCCGAGAGCACCTCGGTGCCCCCCAGGCCCTGGGCAGGGCTGAGCCTC